TCCACGTGGACAAATATATATGTTTAAAATACGGTATTAAATAGTCTAGGGAGGTAATAGGTCCTATGAAAGTTTAGTATCGCAACAGCAAATCCGACCAAAGTTGAGATATTTTTCAGACCCTTATCCCTATTTTTAATAAGCGCCTTTTACTATATTAATATTTATTGTCAAACATACCGTACATATTATTCTTATAAAAATAAATACTTTTAACTTTTATAATTAATTAAATTAAATATCAATTTAATTGTGTAATTATATTTGTGCAACTAAACACGACAAATATAAAATATGAAATTTAAAATAAGGGGGAAAAAAAGGAGAGGAGAGAGAGAGAAAAGAGAGATAGGCTAGAAAGATAAAAGAGGATAGGGATAGAACCTTACAACTCTGTTTCAATGGCTTCCCCTTTATCCTCTTCCATTTTCTCTCCAAATTTCACCCATTTATTCCAAAATAAGGCTTTCTTCCGTAATCATCTTCCACTTCGTTCCTCAATTTATGCTACACTCACTCGCATTGCCTCGAAGAAGAATGCTTCCATGGTTAGTTCAATTCTGCTCAAAATTTAGATATTTCAAGAGTGAATTCTGTTGAAATTTCATCATTCTTTTGTGCAATGGCGTAATACATAAACAGACACTCTAGCAAGTGAGCACTCCAACTTACAAAATGATCATTCAAATATATTTCAAAATTTATGTGTCACGTCAGCATTAACTGTCCACGAGATCAAGTTGAGGTGTTTTGATGTATTGTGCCTTGTGTCATTCATTATAGAATTATGAATAGTTAGATTGTATGATTTTACTTATTACTCCATTTGTTTTAATTTATGTGACACGTTTCCTTTTTAGTCTGTCTCGAAAAGAATATCATTGTTTTTCATATTTAGGAACAATCTAACAATTAATGACATGATTTATAGCTACACAAATGTGTAAGACTTGTTTTAGATCGTAAGTTTCAATAGTCTTTATTCTATCTTAAACACGGTATCTAGTCGAACAGAACTGTTTTCTGATATTTAATTTGGGCAAAGAATGCTGGTTCACCTCTAAAGTTTGATCCTTGTCAAAAATTAAAACGACTGTTGGATCATCAAATGTAAGTCTTGCAATGTGAACGAACTCACACAGACGGAGTTTGTCTTCAAGGGTAAACGTATCCATAAAATTAGTTAATGAAGAAAATGCAAACTGTAACATAAGCTATGGCTTTTCTGATTTGCCTTGTGACACTAGCATAGTGCATTTGAAACCATATTTTGGGCTTATCTTTTCTTTTTTTCGTTATCTCGAATAGAACTGTTGAGATCTGTATGTCTCTCCGTCTCACATACATATTTGCACCTGCATAAACATCTTATTAGAGAACTCATATTCACTATTCAATGTTGCTTCAAAAATGATCAAAATACAATTTTTATAACCCTCTCAGCTCCTTGATGGGTTTTCAGTCATGCAGGAATTGACAAAGAGGCCAACTGCTCCTTCCATTTTGTCAACACATTTGGAGAGTACAGTCAAGCAATTTCAGAGTTTAATGGCAGTGATCATTATCTTTACTGAAATTGCATCTCCAATACCTTTGTATGGTTTGCAAGATTTGTCCATTTCTCCTGCTGAGGCAGTGCTTTATTCCCCTGAAACAAAAACTCTCCCTAGAACAGGAGAATTAGCTCTCAGAAGAGCTATCCCAGCCAACACAAATATGAAAACTATACAGGTAGTTTTATTTTGTTCTGCCTATATATTTTATATACTATTTTCCTATTTGGTGGTGTAGATAGTAAGTCATGAAGTATCACTACTCCTCGTTTATTTTCTCGCAGGATTCTCTTGAGGATATCTCGTACTTGCTCAGGATTCCACAGCGAAAACCTTTTGGAACAATGGAGGGTAATGTGAAGAAAGCACTTAAGGTATTGCATGATATTTTTGTTGCAACCAAACTAGATATAAGACACTTAATGATTGATCCTCTGGCAAGGTAATCATTCTTCGACATGGATCTCAGCCATCTAACAGACGTGTTGGATATCAGGCCATTTCCATACAGTAAAAAGAATAAAATAGTTGTTCATTTATGTGTTTTTTTCAGAAAGATACCCTGTGATACAAGGAGGAAATCTTCCCTTTCATGTTTTTCTTTTAAACTATCCATCAAACAGAGTTATAGTATAGAGAATTCAAAGAGTCTCAAAGATGTTAACATTGCATGCTAACTGACTGACGGATTGTTTGATTCTGCAAATAACAAATAATGAAATCACTTATATTGAAAGGATGTGAAGTTATCAAACACTCTTATTCTGTGTCTTTAAGTACACATTTCTAATGCTTCAATATCTCTTCAGATTGCAACAGATGAAAAGGCATCCATCTTGGCTAGCATTCCAGCTGAACTGAAAGAAGAGGGTTCAGTCTTGTACACATCTCTTGTAGACGGCAAGGTAACATGA